GATTTCTGAATGGAATATATCGGGCAGTAATGTTGAAATAACTGAGCCATCACTTGGTACAATATATTCATCGAAATCATGGAATGATAAGTATTTTACTACGCCGATATTCCTGAAATGCAGTACAAATCTGATTGTTTTAAGGGAATGCCGACTTGTTTGAAGAATGTTTGCTTAGAAATGGACACTTGAAATTTTTCTGACTAATATGTACTTTTACTACTTCTTATGGTTTTTTCTTTAAAATCGATATAGATATCATTCATAGTATTTTTTTTGAAAAAAGTCAAGTACACTTCACCTGTATAAGCAATCGAAAATGGTGATTAACTGTCCGTAATTCCAAATTCCAGTAAATGGAAGGTTGAAATCGATCAGATTGACAAGTCTGAAGCAAGTATTCGTAAAAGCATAGAAAATGTCATAATGATTTTTATCACTTTGGATTTTCAGAGAAAAATTATATATAAGAACAATATTAATGACCTTTGGGACACATAATAATGATAACTCGTTGGATATTTTCTGGAAGTGCTTCCATAACTGCATAAATGGTGATTATCTCTGATCCAACAATTTATTACCATCGGTTAAATTTACTTGCATATTATTTCCAATGTTGTACGGTATTTGGCAGGACAATAAATAAGTTCCATATCGTTCACTGTGATTCTCAGCGGATGAAGAAAGAAATACTCGTATTATTTGCACCATATAAGCAAAAATATTTTTGTCCAGATGATGGATGGTCTTTTTTTACAATAATGATTCTCAGGAGACGATAACCCATGTTACTATGTCGATTATCAACAAATGATGTGTAAATGAAAAGTTCATGATTAAATGTTGTAAAATGGATTCCATTTGGAGAATTTTTTGGAAGTTTTTTAGAAGTTTTTTTTGGAAATTTTTTATTTATGGTTGAGTTTCAATGGCTTGTCGGACAAGATTTTGCCAGCAAATCATTTGGTTATAGAAGTACAAGTCAAGTTTGAAAGGTTTACTCTGTGAGTAGAACCACAGCATCGGCGCTCCAAAATGAGAGCAACAACCCACCGAGCCGTTCCATTTTCTGAATTTCACGAAGAGAATATCTGAACAACTGAATAATATAAGATTATTAAATGAAATCTAAAAATTCTGTAGTTCGAGCGAATTTTAAAAAAAGTAAATAATAAGTCATATATTTAAAATAACCAAAGTGGCTGATAAATAGGACTTAAAAATAACATATTCAAAAAAAAAGTTTAGAAAAGTTAATATTGGTCGGAAGGACTTAAACTTTAAGTCTTGAAAGCAAAATATATGAATAATGGGTGTGACAGATAATAGGTTTTCTTGATTTGAACTTGGAAATTTAAATGCACTTTGGTATTTCAATTTTCAGTGAAATGTGCATGTGGAAAGGTTTTAGAAATAACGCTCTTGAATTACATAAATTAATCAAAAATTAACTAGCTAAAATCAAAAATTGCTTTTTTGGTTGGATATCGCACAGATTCAGCTTACAGTAATTAATTAAGAAATTAAACAATTCATATCCATAACATGATATGTCATTAGGTTGGATTTTTGCCACTTGATTCGAATAAGCGTGAAAGCCAACTGATGGTAGGTGTCCACCTGTATTTTCATCGTTAAGTGACAAAGCAGTCTCATCATTCTGATAACCCAACCATAGCTGATGAGTGCTATAAGAAAAATTTGCCCAAATAATATGGTAACAATCAAATACTCTCATTTGACGACAAAGCTTAAGCCAAAGCTCTCATGGCAAGAAGTGCTATCTGTTGGCAGCTCCGATAGCTTGCCATGATTGCGACAAGAAAGTGAAGATGGTACTTTGTAAAAGAATTCCATTTCGAGAATTGATCAATGAAATGATCTAAGATAAACTTAGAAATCCTGTTAAGACTATCAAAGACCGTAAAGGATCGTTCAGGCCCATATCTCTCTGCTCTCTGATCACGATTAAATTAACCAACAACCAATAAAATAACCAATAGATGGAGGCTAAAGTCTAATAGAAAATTCCTTCGGAAAACATGAGAGAATAAAATCACTTTGTAAAGCAAGAGGTTTCAGCAATTTTTTGTACTTTTTAATTCGTTTCCTAACAACTTGCAAAACTGTTTTAAAATAATAATATCGGTGTTTTCCTACAGTAATTATTTTAAAATTATTGCTTAGGTCACCGCATTAAAAGTATCACTTCTCTGGTTTTAAATTAAGAAATTTTCCACCATAGAAGTACATCTCATTTCTGTGATTTATATAGCATGTATTAGTGTGAAATTATGCACACCATTTGAGGCTCGTAAAAATGCATCAAATGGCTCATTGGTGAAACTTGAATTACCATCTGAAAAACACTTGCAACTCTACGAATTCGCTGAAGAAAATGATGCGATAAATAGCATAAACGAACTGAAGCCAGAAGTAGTTGAGGCCAGAAGAACTTGAGGAAGTGTCAGTATTTACGAAATTTAGAAGTAGTGAATCCAATATTTGAAAAGAATCGAAACAGATCATCAGAAATTGGTCTGAAATCTGCATTCCATATTCGAAGTTGACCCAAAAAACATTAAGTTAAATCGCTGATAAAACAGTTCTCATTTGGATNCTTGAATTACCATCTGAAAAACACTTGCAACTCTACGAATTCGCTGAAGAAAATGATGCGATAAATAGCATAAACGAACTGAAGCCAGAAGTAGTTGAGGCCAGAAGAACTTGAGGAAGTGTCAGTATTTACGAAATTTAGAAGTAGTGAATTCAATATTTGAAAAGAATCGAAACAGATCATCAGAAATTGGTCTGAAATCTGCATTCCATATTCGAAGTTGACCCAAAAAACATTAAGTTAAATCGCTGATAAAACAGTTCTCATTTGGATCATAAAATCCGTTCAAGAGAAACATCATCAACAATAACCTCTAAATAGAATAAATATTTATTACAAAAAGTACTATTGTATCTATGATGGGGAACGAAGAGAATAACCTCTTACGAAAGCCTGAAATCTGGCCAAACTATCACATCTGATGTTTATTTCAAAAACTCACTCGTCTTCAAGAATAAATTGCATCGAAATTGCATGCAGTGGTTAGGAGAATAGGTATAATTCTGTGAGGTGATAAAGTAAAAATGCATGCTTCGAAAAATATGTCCTAAAAAACCAATGGTTTTGCTGGCAAGTTCTACCTCATAAATCTTGTAGCTCCTTTTATTTGTTCAGATCCCATGTTTAGCTGCGAAAGAACTTCTTTTGAAAAAATAAAATCGCCTTGAAGAGTATTTTGAATTCTGCATGAATTCATAAATTGGTTTCTGGATAGGAAAAAATTGTAGAAAAACGCGATGAATACTATTTTAAATATTTTAACTCAAATTTCTGATAAAAAACATCCACGCCCTAATTAATGAATTGATAAAAATTGCTCATTTAGATAAGAAGCTCCATAATTCAAGTGAAAAATTGAACTGTCAAATATTTACCGTTTCCATGACAGCAGACGACCTCATAAGGAATCTAAAATTTTCTCTATTATCGGCAAAAAATGAAATTGATTGAAAAATGAAATTGCAGATTGCAGATAGCAGGCAAATTTGTACAATTTCTGAATACATATTTCACTTTTACAATTTTAACTCCACTTTTATACACCTTATGTATGAAGGTTCGTTACTTTTAAAGAATTGTTTTATGTCTTTATTTGCTTTATATATTGGTCGCTCATAATATGAGAACTTTTTTCACGCAAATCGGCACACAGAACAATCATTGGACATTTCATTACTTTAATTCAATTTTGATTGCTCATATATTTTATTCATGCATATTGTGTATATTTTGCAATCTGTCCCAAAAAAATCCCGAAAGAAAAGCCCACACCATCAAGGATAATCTCAAATATTCAACCAATAAAAACAAAGACCCAAAATTCTTACCCTAATAAAAATTCCTAATCAAAACAAAAAAATTCTATAATTATTTTGAAGAAACTTTACAACAGCTACTTCTGTTTGTAACTGGCATTCATTGTATTTCACGAAGGCCTGATAAAAACTTTACATTCACCACGTCAACACCTAAATATTTTTGAAAATACTTAAAATTTTTTCATTCAAGTTTTTCTGTAGCTATTAAATGAAAGATAAAATTTTTCATATTTTTGGATTTCATTGAGGCCGAATCATCATAGGCTCGATTCGTATTCTTTAACAGGGCTGAACCCCTTATTTGAAGTGGAATCTTGATGTTAAGGCCCGACATGTAATTCTTTATTCAAGTGATTCACTGACGAGGGAATTCCCATTTTTAACAGATAATGCAGCCAACACAGGAATGTTGAGTGCTCTTAATGCTCTCTTAATTCTGAATTTACAAATTACATGATATATCTGAATTTATAAAGAATGGTGCCGGCCATTCACCTGTACTTCTATCGCCCTGGCATATTTCTCCAGTGCGACAAGCTAACGGAACGAATTTAACCAGTGATGGTGAAGGCTCTTGAAAAAAACCGACAAAAGATAAAGTAATTCTAGAATTCCTTCTAGAGTTTTGCATCGATTTAACAACATAATAATGACAAATAATAATAATGCTAATCACTGATAAAATATCTATTACCTACATAATATCAGGTCATGAATAGTGCTCAAACAAACTTTACAAGAAGAATCTGACATTCTAACCGCTCCTGGCTAAATCAAACGATTATACAGCAAAATATAATGGAGCCATAACAAGAAATATTACAATAAATGAAATATAAAACACTGAAAAAATAAAGATATCACGAAAAATGCATGATTTTTTATATGCATAACAATCCAGTGGCTAACGTTTTAGCAAATAATTGCAAAACTTAATATTCCTGCACCCTATTGGTAAAATTTCCAAATACATGCTCAAACAGCAAAAAGTTTTATATAAAAAAAATGATTATAGAAACTTTTTTGAAAAGAATTTTTCAAACAACTCGCGAAAACTATTACAATAAAATCAGTCGCACAGTTCCATCATCTAAACCTACTGCTAGCAAATTGCTTTCCACTGGATTCCATGTGATGCAGTTAATGTCTATGGGAAAAATTTCTTCTTGAGCCAGCTGAATCAATGCCAAAATATCTGCGCATCTTTGGATTTCGAAAAACCTGAAAAGGATTTTCTGAAATAAGTTTAAATTCTTTAATGTTCTTCCCTTCCATTCTTATGTCCAAAATCGAATTAAGAAAAATCAAAATAAAATATTAGGCAAAAATTGGCGAACCTACCTTAAGTGACCATCTCCTCCTCCAACAGCTATCAACTTAGTAATTTTATTCCAAGAAACCGAATATAGTGGCCATCTTGTATCCACTAATAAAACTGCTGCTTTTGACCATTTGTAACTTTCACCTGACCAACTAGTTTTTTGCCTTGTCCATAGCTATATTTCAAATCATTAACTAATCAGTAGTTTGAGTAACCAACGGTTATCATCAAGTGCATTCAGGAAAGGACAAATATATATGGAGATCGAACTTTCTATAACTGTTTGATATCTAATTGTTAATAATTGATTGTTAATTTATATATATATATATATATATATAAGGAAAACAATGCAACATTTTCCTGCAAAAATTTCTACCTTCTATTATATTTAGCTTCAAATTATGGCAAATTAAAAAAAAAATACTTTAACTGCATGATCAGCACCTACTGTCACTAACATTTCACCATCTTCAGAGAAATCTGCCGCCCATACTGTATCATCATGAGCAGCTTCGATTTTCTGTTGTAATATCCATTCATCACTATCAAACTGATAAAAATGAATCGAACAGTCATAGCTACATGATAAAATGAGCTGAAAATTTTTACAGCTAATATTTATCGAATTTGAAAAACGAGTCAGATCAACTTAAAATTAATTAGAATTTTAGTATTTTTGAAATAGGCAAATTAAACAATTGATCTAAAATTTTCCTTTTCCTAAGAGCGCTCTCTATTTCTGGCAAGGTTCACCCCATTGGTCTCTGTCGGTACATTTTGTTAGGAAGACATCTGGCAAGTATAGATCGCCAACAATAACGGAATTTTTGACAGATATTAATGCTATTTTGAATCCAGTTTTTGAATTATTCTTGATACGAGACCTGTCGCCGAATGGCGAAAAAAGCTATAAATATGAGCAAATCATCCGGATTTCCGCCCATCTTAAATTAAATATAAGCTTCCAAAAGATCATTTTTGGTCATTCTGTGCTTCTATTAGATGAAACGAGTGGGGAAGCAGTCGGTGAGAGATGGGCATTTAGATCTCACATTTGATTTTATTTTACTGTATTATTTCTTTATATTAAGGCAACTGCTTCGCTTTCTTTTCTTGTATATTTTTGCATCTTTACTGATAAAGGTTTAATCACCCAAGTTTGCGGTTCGCAACGAGAAAAGCAAGAAGTAGAACGGTGGCCGCAGAGTTTATAATATTATTATGAAAGTCCCGCGTGGCAGGAAAGTTAAATCTATGCAGAAAAAAGATAGTAGAGCGGATTCTCAAAAGGAATTTTTGTAAAGGTAGAATATTGGAAGGGGAATTGCCACTCCCAACAAAAATTTCATAGTGCTATATACCTTTTTTCTGTACAAGACCAGTAGCTTTTGCTTTCACCATTCTGTGGTGATAATTTTACTGCTATCAGGAACAAAACCCATGCATCGACATCCCGAAATACCAAAATAAATTCATTTCCGTAAAATTGGCATATATACTACCACAATAGAAAAACTATTTGGTAGAATGCAGTAAAAACAAATAATAAAAAAAAATAAAGAATTAATATGAACCTCTTCGTGCGGATGCCATGTTACAAATTTTACATCTTGGGAATGATTTTGAAAAATTGCTGCAATTTCGAATTCTTCCTCCTCATCAACTTAAAAGTTAGAATTATATTTTTTGAGGAAAATTTCGCTGAATACCATGATTATTCCACGCTATCTTAATAATATTTAATAAGCCGATTTTTTCAAAAATTTTTATCAAATACGCTCATTAGTCCGAAATAGACTACAGCAAATTTCTATGGCGCAAATGTTAAAAAATGATATTTAGTTATTGCGAGAATTTTCTTCCACAGTTAATGCAATCATTAAAAATAGGCGAATACAACAAATATAATAAATATTTAGAAGAAACATGTAACAAATCATATGCAAGCTAGAAACTCGTGAGCTTCCTTCTCATGAAGAAATAAAATAAAATTTTATTTATAGAAACAAAATTTGCAAAATTTAAGTTGTAAATTCATACTTTGCCAACACCATACGGTTTTATCACGACTACAGGTAGCTAAATACTGACCACAGCTTGAAAATGCACAACATTTCACTTCGTTTTCATGCCCTTCTATCTTCGTAAACTCCTGATAATCATTGCTGCAAATCTTAAGTAAAATAAAATCTTTTGATAATAGGCAGCAGACGATATCAGGCATTAAAAATCTAATAAAACTTACTTTACAAGTTCATAAATAATTACGACTGAATCGAAGCTTGCTGATGAAAGATACCTTCCTGAAGGCGAAAAATCAACATGTCTTATGGCACGAGAATGAATACCATCCAAGCATGTGGAAGGTTCCAAACGAGCCTCGCCTAAATATTTTATTAATATTAAAGGCTTTTTTTTTAAATAATTGATTGAAAAAAAAGCAAATTGAACACATCTAATGACAAAATGTGGGGCTAGAATGGCTCAATGGATTGTCGCTCAAATGGGAGCGCCGACGCTGAGGTTCGGTTCCTCGCAGGAATAAAAATCCGATGCTGGTGACTCACCTGTATTTCTATCGCCAAGAAACTCCATGGCATGTTGCCCAATGCGACAAGCCAGTGGAACGAGTTTAACCAGTAATGGTGAGTAATGGTGAGGACTCTTTAAAAAAAGCGATAAAATGCACAAAATAAAGATATTCTTTTTATCGATATTCCTGAATGAAGTGAAAGCTAAATAAAATTAAACGAAAAATTTATAAGGGATTAATTATGCTAGTTTTTACTAATGCTCAGCAAAGAAATCAAAATTTTTAAAAAATTCAATTAAACTTTGATCAGACCTAGCTCCCTTAAGTTTTTTCAAGAGTGTATTCTAAGAATGCCTATTGCCATATTCATTGGCGGATTTAAAGAAGTACAGACCTACTTGACGATCTTGAGTGGAATCGTTTAAAAGATCAAAGAATAAGTTTGTCAGAGTCAAACATTCGCCATGAAACTATATAGTATAACTTTAACCATCGTTAATTTTCCTTAATTTGAAGATCTTTTTGTTTTTTTTTAATCCAAAAGTCTTTTGAGCGATATAGCCAACTGAATTGATCATAACCAAAAAGTGCGTACAAACAGTTTTTTCTTTTACTTCATATTGATGAAGTCTGGTTTTTTTATCTTAAGGTTCTCTATTTTTCTTATTATATATGATATCACTAAAACTGTCCCATAAGATATCTTTAATCGGATAATCTAATCCCAATCCCAACTAAACAGAAATGCCAAAATTGGCTCCGAGAAATACATACTCTTTCCATCAATAATTGTAAGGTACTGCATATTAATTCAAGAAAATGCAGTTTTCAAGCATAGCATTCTTTTAACTTGAAGCAATCTTACAGACCTCTGTTATAGTTGACCACTTGAATAAAAGCCTCACTTTTGACGTTCATAAAAAATTTTAAAAAAAACTCACTGAAAATTTAATATTTGGATCCTTTAAGAATAAATCAGCAAATTTTTGATTAAAATCCTTAAAACTTTTATCCACCCACTACTGATATAGTTTATCAATGAAAAGATTTAATAAATCGCTGAAACTAACTGAAGGAATACATAAACATTTTCAAATTCGTCTAAATCCCGAATCTTAATTACGAGACAAAATTTTAAATTATACTAGTTGGACTCAGGAGTTAAAGATTAGAAAAATAAAGCATTATTTAACGTACATCTATAAATTTTAACTCATATAATTTTGATATTCTCAATTTTAGCCAATATTAGCCAATATTAGCAAATGTCACAAAAATCAAACGGATCAGATCGAAACTGAAACTTTTCAATCTATTAGTAAAATAATTTTAGAACGCAGAATTTCTTTATTCATATTATCAATAAATACCGCACGAAATAAATTATACACCCTTCTATTTTGTTCTAAAAAAAGACTGGTTGATGTCATATTTAGTGCTCTGTGATACTTTTTCTTCTATTACTGCATTTTAATTTCTCTACAATTTTAAACTATGCTTTCCTAAACTGTACTATATTTTTATTGCGTTGATTTTTTATTACACTCATATCTCGTCTATAATTTTTTTATTTTTAAACCAACAGCCCTTTGCCATGGTTGACTCAATGTTAAATAAATCTGATCGGTTAATTTGCGTTCCTTATTAACTGTTGAAAAGTCCATAACATACGTTGAAATCAAAAAACAAGATAACTCCGTTTTAGCGAGCAGCTAGGAAACCTACTATATGTCACCTACTGTTATGATTGGAATCGATAAACTATGGACAAACAACTATGGGTTTATAGCTTACAAATAGTAGTAAGAAATTTTTCATCATTTTCATCAAATCGTTTTTGCTGTTCTCGTGAGCGGTGGTGTCGGTTATTCTCTTTGTCAATAATTCATTATTTCTATTATATTATATTGTGCTTCGCTAAATTCTTATTGCATTTGTCTAAAAGATATTCTTTCTAAAAGTATATTGTTTGTTATTATCGTTTTATACTGGGCACTTATAAGATAAAAGGAAATTCCAAATGGCACCGAAAAAAGTAGCAATAAATGGGACCGTTTCCAATAATGATGTTAGCTATTTAAATAAAACTATCGAGGATCTGAGGTCACAACTAGCTTCCATTACTGAGAAATATGAAAAACAACAAGATCTAATTATGCATTTAACTAGATCTGTTGAAATACTTACAAAGGTCAACGAAGAACTTAAGAATGATATTAATAATTTGAAAGCTTCGTCTTTGAGCAACTTCGAACATTCAAAAATTGAAACTGAACAAGTATTGGAAACCATTGAAGAATATTTTGAAAGGAAGGAAAAAGAACCATATCTAGTTGGCATAAACATTCCAGAGAAAACTACGGATGATGAATCTGCTACTGCCGATAGGCTTTTAGCAGAAAACATTGTAGTTGCCGCTGGGTTCAAGACTGAATTTATTAAGGAGGTT